AACAAAAATATCTGGCAGGTCGACGGTTTTCATTCTTTTTTGTTTATGCCTAGAATTTTTTCTATAGAGGAGCTAGCTAGCTAGTCCTATATATGCATTAGTTACCTTTGTTGCACAGTATATAAAAGATTTACATATATACTCCACGCACATACATTATTATGCTCCTCCCACATTGTGTAATTATATATTGTAAGTCCTTATGAGGTATTGAGGGATCTATCTAACACTAGCGTGGGGTCTCTGTAACACTACTTTTACTGCCTATTTTGCTAAAATACTTTAGTTCCTGCCGTTTCTTCCGTGCATTTTCTTTCATTCTCTTTTTTGTTTTGGTGTTCTTTTTCATTTTCAAGTACTATAATTGTATCTTTTCTGATATAATAGCCAAGACTTTTGACACATCCAAATGACTGTTTTCTTATAATAAAAATGGTCCCTTAAGAAAGACAAAATATTCAACTAATAACAAAAGCCTGCCGATAAATTTCACGACATCACCATATATTCTGCCCTACAAAAGCTAGGAATTCGCTATAACATGTTAGTTCTTAGCATAGCACACTAAGCTACTAGCTAGCTGGCTAGCTCCTCTGAATAATATACAAGAAGAGAGCCACTTTCATCAAGTAGAATTTTATACAGGTAAAAAAAAACTACAGTTTGACATCTTCAAACCGCAGTAAAAAACTTCCAGATACGAAGATTTTATTAATGTCCATTAGTCAAATGATACTCAACTATTTGAAATTATATTGTAAAGTTATGTGTATTTTATTTGCAATAGAAGAATCACTTAATATTATAATTTATTTATGTTAACTCTATATTATGGACTTACCTATTGAATATATCAATTTTATTTATAAAGTAAAAAAAAACATAGTTTCCAAGCCTATATACTGTTGGAAGAAAATAAAGCAAAGTTTTCACGTATATATAATGTAAATTATAAATATACATTTATTTTAAATAATTATTTTTATATTACATGAATGCAATGTATTCTTTAAAAGCTTTTTTCTCTTTCCTTCCTAATCGTGTAAGCTAATTTTTGAGTTTTTGTTTTTATCATCAAAATTATTGATACAAACAAAATATTCTAATTAATTTCTTTTATGATACTCAATTATTTGATTCATCAATTTCAGTTGCTTAAACTCTTATTTTATAACTCGTAGGGTAAAATAGGTTTTTGACCACGAAAGTTTGAGAAATCTAGTTGAGTGATCTTTTGGTGCTATAGAAATAGTTAAGTGAATTTCTATTACAAACAAAAGAAATACATAACTTTATTAGATAATTTTAAATAATTGAGTGATTATTTAAGCAATGAACTTTCAATTTTTATATTCCGCAGTTGGAGATGTGATTTTAGAAATCAATACTTGATACTATTAAATAGAAGCGTGGAGCTTAAACATGCCGAATAAGGTCACGAGACCATTAGGAAAATACAGTAAATCCAAGATCTGAAAACTAGCTATTAGAATGTTTAGGAACTGAGCTTTAAGGACCTCGCAAGAGGTATAGCTGGTTTTTTAATTAGAATCTGATATCGTAAATCCTTCATGTAAAAATGAAAACTGAGGAAGTAGAGCTCTTTGGAAGAAGCCAAATGCATTCTCAATGATCATGTATGGCTGCCCAAATTAAGAATGAGAGAAGAATGAAACTGAGAAATTGAAACTTCAAATCTCATGCCATGCATGATTGACCATGACAGACAAAATTTCGACAAAAGTAAAAAGATTGCACATCGCAGAGTTGAAAATCAAATTGGGATATACTGATCGAAAATGAAGGCATTTGTGCTTCCTTCCTCCGATTCAACTATGAACACAGGCATGGTGTACATCATTAGTCTAACAGACATAGTATTCGTTGAATGCACTCCAAATTAAGAACCGCCTTTTGATGCACTTAGATATCTATCTAGCTATACCTCAAGCTCAATTTAAAGTTAATGGTACATACTGTGAATTAGCACTTTATTCAGGCCTATATAACATGCTTTCTAGGCACTTAAAAATGGAATACCTCATACCCTCTCAGGGACAGTCTCTACTATTGCTATGTTGGGGAGGGTTGTGCAAGACTGATAAGGGACTGATGTAAAGAAATAAGGAAATGCTATTCCAGGTTCATTCTTAACGCATCTAGTAAATCATGATATGCATCAAGTTGATGTATTTAATTCACAGTAAGCAGGACTGTACATCTCCCCCTTTTCATTGCTTTTGTAACATGATAGAATCGGTCCATGTTATTTTACGATAACAATAACAATAACTACGTCGTCTCAGTCCCAAACAAGTTGTGATTGACGTCGTATATCCTTACTTCTTTCTTTAAACTCAACTCATATCATTATTAATACCAAAATATAATAAAAGTAAAGTGAAAATAAAGATAAATATATGTATATATTGTAATAGTAGTAATTATAATATTAGAAGTACTCTATCGAGTTTAAAATCTATTCGCAACTAGTAAGTATATCTGAATCTTTCTCTTTCATTACGCCCTATCTTTAGCTAAATATGCATTGATTCCAAAGATTTATAGGTTTCGAGACATTTTCCTTCTATGTGATTTTAGGTCTATAATGTACCTTTTAACACCTTCACTCACTATAGTATCACACCTACAGACCAATACATATGTTGTTCGATGCAAGACAGGATCAAACCATCTAAAGCGGCCTCCTTTATTTTATCTTCAATTCGTGCTACTTGCACCTTCTGATGAATGTGGTCATTTTTAATCTTATTTAATCTTGTGTGGCCGCACTCCATCTTAGCATCCATATCTCCGCAACGCTCATCTTGTGGATATGTTGGACTATAGTATCACAACATTCACTATCATATAACATAGCCGATCTTATAGCTATCCTATGGAACTTACTTTCACTTTGGTAGGCATCCTTCTCTATTTCAACTATCCGGTTTTAATTCTATAAGAAATATCTTTCTCTATCATTTCAGACTTTTGAAATAATAAGCCTAGATATCTAATTTGTTTACGTTCAATACCTAAAATCCAACTAATCTCAGCTTAACTTGGCTCTTCTCGTGTTGACCAAACTTGCATGAAGTAAACACCATGAGAAAAGACGTTCATGAAAAGGGACATTTTCACTTGACCAAATTCTCTCATCATTGTTTATACACCTGCCGGCCAGTAAACTCCGAACTTCTAGCTAATCCCGACAAAAACCTAGCTGGATAAGGTGATATTGCCACACTAAAAACATCTCTCTGATGTGTAAGAAACTGCTGATGACATGCTTAAGACTTTGTTGGGATGTACTCCTCAAATTCTCTCTTTTCTTCTGATATTCTCATTAAGTTCTTGCTTCTCTCCCCCTCTCTTTCAAATAGTTGCAAAAACTGAAAGAGATAAAAGAAAAGGAGAACCAAAAAGAAAGGAAGGAAAGAGAGAGGCAACATGCCCAAGAAAATTCGTCAAGCGACCAAGTTGGAAACTTGCTGCGTCAAATTTTAATGCAAATATACCAACACTAAAAAGAAACACAGATTAATAAGTATGCACTAATCTGAAATTCTCTTCAGATCAGCTATGTAATTAATGTTATGCTATCAATTAGTCCAATTTAGCCTTTCGAGAGATAAGTAAATTCAGATGGATGAGGTCAACTTGTTACTAAATATAACTAAGTAATTTAGTGTAATAGGTTTAACAATGCATTAATTGACTTCTAAGCAGAACTTAAACGTACTATTCAATTGATACTATTAAGGTTAACACACCTAACAAAAACAACTTTATCTGGTGGTTTTTGGAGGGAAATGGCTTAGACATGCTAAGTTTAAGAATAAACCATCAGTTGTGAAAGGTTGACACCACTAGGAATTTTCTGGCAACTTTGTTTTAGTTCTCTCTTTTAGCCACGCCTAGCTAGGTAGCTCCATTACTTGTGTATAGAATGATAAAACATCACTTTCTGTAGACACCACACTAATTTACATAGAATAATAAGGTTAATTAGGACATCGATCACTCTCGAGAACAAACAAAATTATTAGAATGTTAAAATATATAAACCAACAATTAATTTGAGCTATATAATCAAACCGAATATATAGCCTAGCATCACTTAAGTCTCAAATTTTGAGACGAGCTAATTAATTGTTTAAAGATTGTTAAAAGGAGAAGGGAGGAAAGTATATAAATTCATTCAAGCGTGCAACTTTTAATATCTGAAATATATGCATTAATTAAATTCTTTTGGTGTTCAGAAGTTGGGTTTTCACCTTCAATTCCTCCGGTCTTTGATTTCAGGAGTATAGTACAGTAGTAATTAAATCAGTTTGAATCATATAAATGGAAACTGTTTTTCTTATGTTATTCTAACAAGATTGAGCAGAGTCTCGGTGAGGCACAACACAGTTAGCTTTTTAGACGATAACAAATTAAGAAAGGTATGAGCGAAAGCCAAAGAGCAACTTGAGAACAGAAAGGGTAGCTGCTGATCAATGCTGACAGGAAGCAGCTACCAAAAGTGAGTAATGATGACAAGTGACAGACGAAGAAAAATATATATGTAGATGAAATACACAAGTATACATGCATTAGTAGTACTAATTAAAAGCATCTTTAGAAGTAGTAAAGATGCTCGCAGAAGTTAATGTGATAGATTGCCAAGATGAAATGTTGGTATATATATGTGTACCTTTATAAAAGCTCTGAAGCAGTAGTACCTGCTGGCGGGCGTGCCCAACGAAGCAGCGACAAGAACAACAACCTACCAAAGGTAATAAAAACAAAATTCATTCATGAAAAAGAAAGCCCGACTTTTGTATATATGTTAATTCCCTTCCATCATTCATTAGCCTGACTGAAGGCTGATCAATGAGCTACACATTTCGTTTGAACTGTGCACCAGCTAGCTAGAGGAAATCAAAGTCTGTTTGCTTTCAAGTTAACTTAGAAGGAAATTTATGAAGACGATTAGTTAGCTAGCCAAGAAACGCTTGTGTAAATAGTAAAGCTCTTTTTTCTATTGTTTCTATCAATACAATCAAGGTGCTTAACTGAAAACTGAGGCATTACTACACTTTGAGGGTCCAAACCAAGCCCCGCAGTTGGAAATTCAAACATAAAATAACCAGTATAAAAGGATCTGGTGTGATATCCTAGTTTTTGCAAAGTATCTCATCATCTCTATTAGAGTATTATGCACAAATTCGATCAACTTGAACACATTTGCTCATTTTTTTCATTTTGTAAAGCGAACGCCAACTGACTTTGCAATGACATTTAATTTTCTTTCTCAGTAGGCCATAAGGACTCATAACGGACCCGTACGTGCCCTATGATGAAGAAACCCTTTGCAGCTAATTCTCTTCAATTTACACTTGTTTGGGGTTTTAGAAATGATCAAATTTCCAAATCCAAGGACATGGATTCCTTGCCTTTGCCTGACGATTCTTCGTCGGTGGGTGCTGTTTGGAGCGGCTTGGCATCATCGTAGTTGTTAAAAGTCCTAAATTGGAGCGAAGGAGTTGAGGTTGAAAATTGGGGAGTATGAGAATAACTTGCTGTAGGCAAGGAGGAGGAGGACGAGGACATGTCACATGATTCATCCGAGTCTGAGACGGGACAGTCCATATTCACGCCGAACAACCTGAGTCGCTTTGGTGCTGCCTTGCCTTGGACAACCGGTACCGAGTCGAACACCATTGGCTCCACAAGCCTACCACTCCCTTCTCCAACAATACTACTACTACCACTACCTCTTTGCATTTGCTTCATTAATCCCACCTCCTGTTGTGGGACTTGGGCTACTGATCCCGATCTGAGATAAACTACTGACCCGCTCGGACAAGGGTTTCCATTTACCACGATTCTACTGCTAGCCATGCTGTTGAAATTAGAAGCTGTATCGTAGTAATTAGGACTGTTCCCAATTCCATAGGCGCTGTAGCTATATTGCTGCTGATGAGACATGCTGCCGGCAGGACGGGAATGTAAAGGTGAATGGTCTTGCTGCAAAAAGAGCGGATGATTCCAAGCAGCTGGGTATTGATGATTAATATTGGAGCGGTACTGGAAATTATTAGAGAAATGGTGTGAAAGCGGCACATGAGTCATGAAGTTGGTGTGGAGATGGTCGGTCGGGGCATCTGGACGGCGCCTCCAATCGATGAAGAGACGATCTTTGCCTAATTCACCTATTCCGCGCTGAAAAGAGACAATATCCCCAGCATCGAGCTTCTTCTCCTTGACAAAGCGGCTCCAACCTTTGGTCATGACATAGCTTTGGCTGCTATTCCAGTAAGAATATCTGAACCGCCAGGGCTTTCCGTTTCTGTCTTCGAAATTGAGGAGGAGGCCTTTCTCGTTGGTGGAGGAATCAAGAGGGAAATACTTCTCGGCGTGCTGTTTGGGGATGACTAACCGATTGAGCTTGCCGACGTCACTGGGAGTGACTACCTTATCGAACATGTGTTCTCTCTCAATCAGCGCCATGGAATTAGCAGTTGCACCAACTCCAAGATCCACAAGGTTGTGATGATGACTATGATGATGTTCATCAGCATCGCCCTCACAATGATTTGCGGTAGGGGGAGTATCCATCTTAACGACCTCAGTACTACGTCTTCACCATTATTATAAGCTAGCGTGGCGGGTGCTGCTGCTGCTTAACCAACTTCTTTGATGGTTCGATCTGCTGCTACTGATAGGAGAAAGGAGCTAGAATAGAAGAATGAGAAAATGGGGCATGTAAATTTTGAGGAGCCTTGATCGTTGAAGCCACGTCCACCTCACAAGAGATCAGCATGCACCGTCCAAGATATACCGCACTTGTCCAAGGCATATATAGATCTAATTAGAGAAGATATGTTGCTCATGAAGATATGAAACAAACCCCCAAAAACCAGAAATATGAGCAAAACCTCACTAAAATAAAATGGGATTGAGTCCAGAAATATGGTTAGTGGTTACTGATACAGCGGAGTCTAACTCTGAGAGGAGTACTGCGGATTACTGGAACTAAAGAGTAGCAGCTTCCCATTGACAAAATTAGCTAGCTAGAATACAGAAACTAGAAATCAAATGAGGCTAAGTGCGCTCTTGTTTGACCAAGAGGACTCATAGAGGTGATGACGCACATAATCAGCCCACCAACACCCATTCCTAGAGTCAGAGAAGACGATTCAAAAGCATCCCTTCTCCTTCTTCTTCTAGCTGTTGACCTTTTCGTTTGTGGGAGATATAGAGAGGGAGAGAGTATTACAATTGTATGTGGGTAATTTGTCTTAGTGGGGTGGTTCCCTGGAATCTTCTTTTTTAAGTTTGGTAAATTTCATTGAAATTATTCCCTTTCAGACTTTAAACTTTCCTTCCTAGTTCCTACTTCCTACTTCCTACTTCCTAGTTCGTTCGCTGAAGAGTACGTGTCTCTTTAAGTAATTTACTTCATACCTACCCGCACCTCTCTGCGGGTCGGAGCATAAGGGTGGACTCTCCAGGGGCCCACGAATTATCTGGTTGGGTTCATGTGAACTCGTCCTTGTATCCGATTGGGATAGGTGGTAGCATCCAAATTAAATTGGAATTCTATACTCAGTACTAGTATTCTATTCTTATCTTTGCATAACTAGACTCGTTTAACTGCGTTACCGTTACCGTTACCTTTACCTTTTTATTGATACCCAAACTGTAAGCAAACAAAAATAGTGGGAAAAAGTTACTATACTATGTCAAAGTATTTTATTCACTCCCAACAAGTGACACTACTAATATAGTCTAGTATTACTGTTTAAATTTCACGGTATAGCCAATTCTCGGACTGGTCAATCAAAAATAGCCAGCGTTTACCATGTCAATGAAAAATAGCCACTGTTTTGCTGCAATAGAGACCGGTCCAGCATAATATACTGGAGTTCGGTGCACTTGTGTATGAACTCCAGCATATTATGCTGGACCGGTATACTTTGCTGGCTCCAGTATAATATACTGGAGACTGGAGCACTGGTGCTCCAAACTCCAGTATATTATACTGGACCATTATACTTCCAGTATAATATGTTGGAGTTCAAGTATACTTATGCTGGAACTCCAGCATAATATACTGGAGTATTTTTCGGGTTTTGAACAGTATTTTCGCTCAAATTTATCTTTACATAAAAAGTGACTAAATTTCTATTACTTTTGAAATTGGGCTATTTTTGAACGACCAGTTATAAATTTGGCTATTTTTAAAAATCTCAGTATTATCTTTTAGCATTACATTTAGGCCCCGACAACGCCAGCTGTTTCGTAAACCACGAATATCTAGTACTGCTATCCTAATTTTTTCAACTAGCTAGCCTCATCTTTTCTCTTTAATTTTTGTTTCTTCTTTGTATTTTTTCTTTAATTTGGGGAGGGGCGGCGTATAATTGTGAGTAGGCATTAAAATTTGGAAATAGTTGCTGTGCGGTTATGAACATTATCAGAATCACAGTAGTATTTAATTATTTGTCGTAGTTAGCCAGTAGTAATATTTTAATTTGCAAATGGGGTTGCCCATTTGGTCTAAGTATATCATTAATAAGCCACAAGTACGTAGACATCAACTAGCTAGCATTATCGTATTCATTAAGCAGGCTTTGGATTATTGACTTGCTGTCACTACACATAAACAAATAAATCCGTACGATGCTAATTCATTAGTCTATGCATGTGGCAATAAGAGTGGAGTTGATCCTACTCCTTATTAATTCATAGGCTGCTAGGGGAGTACCTACTACTTTCATAAGATTATTTTACTCCATATACCACAAATTTCACAATTCACAAGTGCTAATTAATAAGTCTCACTATAGGACTTATACTCTATTCTTTAATAATAATGAATTATTATAGTTGCCGTAATTAATTAGCTGCTTTCAAGTGCTCAAGTATTATTGCTAGGACAAGAGTTCCATCTAGTTGGGTACAGAAGGAGATAATGTACAAGTGAATTAGATAGATCGGGGACCAGGTCATCTCTGTAATTTTACTACTACTATATGAATATGCATAAAAAGGTTTTCCTCGCTTGAAATTTTGTTTTCCCTTTACAAGAATGCCAACGAGTCTAATTTCGCAGTTAGGGAAGATAAAGGTGACACAGAGAAGACGTATCCCTTTCTCAGGATTGGCTGGTTGCTTGAGGCAGACAGTCTATAATAGAGAGGGAGAGGACCACCTATATATATAAAGCCATACTGGTGAAATGGTGATGGACCATGTGGGTATGGCAATTGATAACCCCTTTAAACCCAATTTTTTTTCTCTCTCTCTCTCTCTCTATACAACATCAAGTATAAGCTCCTTGCAGTTGGAAGCACGCCCTAGAGAAGAGTACTTCCACTTATATCTACTATAACAGACCTTTAATACTATCAGTATACACTTATTTGATTTTAGCAAATTATTACTCTCTATTTTCTATGTTACCATTTTAGTATTGAGAATTAAGTCAACTTACGTTGATAATTAACAATTCTACGTTGTCAATGCATAGAGCATAAGTTACTCTCTATAGAGTAACCATATATTGTTAATGGATTTAGGTTATACACAGCATAAACCATCATTTTATTGGTAAACAAGTTATACAGGAATTAGTAATGCAAAACAACGCATTAGGTTTATTTTCCAGCATTATCCCTTTCATGCATCTTGTCTCCTCCTTTCTATGCTTGAATTTTCTCCAAACCTTTTAGGAACTTTTAATTGTTGAACATATTTAAACCCAAAAAGAAAATTCTTGAAAATATATTACCAAAAACTTCTTCTATCGTAGTGTACCGTGGTTAAATACAATAATTCCTTAATGTACATTTTTATCGAACATTTAAAGCTTATCAAATATTTACATGAAATTACCTACTAAGTAACTTAATCGTGTGAACATTTTTACTACGTCAATTCATAAAATTTAAACTCTTAAAAAAGAAGAAAATCCTTTTATTATATCAGCATTAGTTAAAAGTAGCGTTGCGTCTGGGAATCTTTATTCAAAAGTATTAAGCAGCATTTGGCTCAATTATCATATTCTAGTTTTCTGGCTGTTAAGAATTGAAGCATGTTTGAGAATGTTGAACGGTCAATGTGTAAGTGACAGTCATATCGCCTTTGCTTTGGGTATACGGTTAGAATCGGGCCTACCCGATTTTACTATTTGATCGAGATTAGGGAATTGCATCGAGGCTAAACCTCGTAATGGATCGGACCAGAGCACGAAGACAAGGTATCGAGTTCGATAATCGAGGTGCCTGTCGAGATCGAGGCCAGCAGCAATCGAAACCAAATATGACAGACTTCGAGCAACGCGCAATAACGGAAAAGCAAGATATCCATAACCGGTCGAAGATCACGGCGGAAATCCCGGAACAGATCAAATCAAGGGCGATTGTTTAGGCTAATCGTGGGATTACTTCCGTAATTAGAATTGTACCATAGATAGGATTCCTCTACTATATAAAGAGGGTTCTAATCATTTTGTAGACTTCACATTCACGCAGATCAAAGCAATACAATATTCTCTCTTTAATTTATATTCTCTTGTTCATCAGCTTGTTACATTTAACTGTTCTTGAACAACTAGCTCGAGGGTACGCAAATCAGAGCAATACAATATTCTCTCTTTATTTTATATTCTCTTGTTCATCAGCTTGTTACATTTAACTGTTCTTGAACAACTAGCTCGAGGGTATTCAAGCTCGAGGGCTGAATTCTGTTCAAACACTATTTTGCATTATCTTATTGTCAATTTCCATCACTAATCTTTGCATTTATCAATAGGTATTAGGTGAAATCACGTATCCTTAAAACCACATTATAAGTTTAATTGTTATTCAGTTTTTAGGGTAAACAGTTTGGCACTCACCGCGGGGCTAAGGATAATAGTGATTATCTCGTATTAATTCTTGTAACACACACTACTTTATGCTTTTTCTTTTAAGTATTTTTGATTTCAGGATCAACATGTCTAACTCTCAAGCAGTACCCACTCACGCCGATGACGGCCTCGATTTCCACGTAGAAAACGATAATGTAGCTGCCGCGGGGATCGACGTGCCTCAAGCTGGCCACAAGGGAGTACTGATCGAAGACCTCGTCGATGTCAGTTCGCACGTCTCCCTAAATGCAAATCTAGGCGTCGACCCTGGAAATAGTGTCAGTAGAGATGCTCGAGCAATCGATCAGAACGCACAGAGCGGCGAGAAAGGCGGAATTAGCCTTCGAATGATATTCAAAATGTTGCAGACTCAACAAGCTGCAATAGCGCAACTCCAAAATCAGAATTGAGCACCAAGCAGAATCGAGCTCGAAACATCACAAGAAGTTGTTCATAGAGTCGAGCCTGTACCGGAGAAATTGAATGCCAATGACCGGGGACTGACCCCGCCATTATGAAGATGCTTGAAGTGCTCACTAAACGGATCGAATCAGGTGGAAAAAAAATCGAGGCTAATGACAAAAAGGTAGAAACATATAACTCACGGGTTGACCAAATACCGGGGGCACCCCCGATCCTAAAGGGTTTGGATTCGAAGAAGTTTGTGCAAAAGCCTTTCCCTTAGAGTGCGGCTCCGAAGCCCATTCCTAAGAAATTCCGTATGCCAGACATCCCCAAATACAATGGGACCATTGATCCTAATGAGCACGTCACTTCTTACACATGCGGAAATAAAGGAAAATGGCTTAGAAGATGACGAGATTGAATTCGTTCTATTGAAGAAATTTGGACAAACTTTATCGAAGGGTGCCATGATATGGTATCACGTGTTGCAGTGCCCGTTCTACCACCCAACTCTATTGATTTGTTTGCTATGCTCGCAGATTCTTTTGTGAAGGCCCACGTCGGAGCTATTAAGGTTGCAACAAGGAAATCGGACCTCTTCAAAGTAAGACAAAAGGATAACGAGGTGCTCAGAGAATTCGTATCTCGGTTCCAAACAAAGCGAATGGATTTGCCTCCAGTCACCGATGACTAGGCTGTTCAAGCTTTTACACAAGGTCCCAACGCTCGGAGTTCCATAGCTTCACCTCAATTGAAGCAAAATTTGATCGAATATCCAGCTGTCACTTGGGCCGATGTACACAATCGGTATCAATCGAAGATTAGGGTCGAGATGATCAACTGGGAACTCCAATTGGTTCGATTTATCCCAACAAGTCCGTGGACAGAGTTAAAGGGGATGTTGATCAGGAACCACGAACGAATAAAGATAGATACCAGTCGTACAGAAGAGATCGGAGAAATAACGAGCCTGGGCGCAACCCCATACGAAAAGATAGAAGGAATGATCGAGGACAGAGTTCCCATGGGCTTATGAGCAAAAGTGGTTTCAATAGGGATGTCGGGATCAAAGAGGCACCTCG